CACACACACACACACACACACACACACACACCCCTCCACCAAGAGAGTTTGGTGACGGGTTAAGTCAGAGATTTACTAAGTGGCAGACACTGTACTTGAATCCAAAGTTCTCATTCTTAGCCCATTGGCTTTCTCCTGCAACAGAAACATTCCTTTATAGTAAATAATATATAAGGTAACATTTTCTCCATTGGCACTCAGAATACATTATCTCCAAAAGTCGCTGTTAAAAGTCAAGCATGCCATTTAGGAAGAACAGTATGCTTATTAAATAATTCATACAGGTATATATTTTAAATCACTCCCTATAAGGAAAGAATAATATAAAATATTTTTTAAAAATTTTACATGAGTGATTTTAGAGACATCTGTAGTGAAGTATATAACTCTGTTTAGAGTCAACATCTGCATTTGTGTGTGTTATGAATAGAAAGATTTGCATTTTATCAGCACAAGCAGAACATAATAAAAATACAGTGGTACCTCGGTTTTCGAAAGTCTCTGTTGGCGAACATTTTGGTTTACGAATGCCGTAAACCTGGAAGGAAATGCTTCGGTTCTCAAACACATCTTGGAAGTCGAACATGCCACACGGCTTCTTGAGTGCAAGACCCTGAGGCCTAGCTGTCGGCTGTGGATCCCTCAGTTTTCGAACATTTCAGAACCCGAACGGGCTTCCAGAACCGGTTACATTGAAAAACCGCGGTTCCACTGTATAAAGATAGCAGCTCTATTAGATGCAGCCTAAAATAGATATCACGATGAGTTTCCACACAGTCCCCATCTCCCAGGACCCTCTATGCTGCAGACGCCAGGGGAGAGTAGTCCAAAGGAGAGGGCCCGAGGGTAGTGATCAGTGTGTGGAGTCAGCAGGGGAGGCCTATGACGTCACGGCACCACTCTGGACCCAGGTTCCTCACCTGGAACAGGAGGAGCCTAGAAGGCATCTAAGGTCCCGGAAATGCTAGGGAACAATTCTTAACCTGAATAAAGTTTGGAGACATGTTGTATTCAGCAGAAGATGCAAAAATTTTAAGAATGGTCCAGACTAAGAAGATTAAGAATTTAACATTACTCTCTTTTAAAACTGAGTTCATAGATAGTGAAAAATATATATATTGGCATAGAAAACTTGGCTTTCATTTTCAGAGCCCAGAGTCGCCCATCTCTGTGCACTTCCACTAAAACAGGCATGATGTACAGTCTCAGGTGCTTTGCCCTTACTCGTGAGAAGGTAATTGCCGTGCAAAGAACAAAATGCTAGTGACAGGCAATTAACTCCTTCCTCCTCTGGCTCACTCTGGCCCACAGGGACGCCACGCTGGCTTCCCGAAGACAGGGGGCGCTCTTTGCCAAAAGATCCCCACAGAAGCCCGGGGTTGGGCGTGAGGCTCACCACCTTATTACTGGCCTTTAATGGGCCACAGATGTTCAGTATAAATGAACGCGGGACGCATGGCTATCAAAGAAGCGGTTCTCGAGTACCACGTTCCCTTGGATGAGAAACTTCGTTCAGCATTAAAAGAAGAGGGAGGGGGCAGCGAGGGGGGAGGGGGAAGAGAAAATCCTGAAAGACTGCCGATGTTTCCAGAAATGCTGGCATTCTCTTATGAGACGGCATTAAACTAATTTGAAAATTTGGACCCCAAATTAATGTGACAAACAGGTAGGCAGAGCCTTTGGTTCTGCAGGTAGAACAAATTGGGTTTTCAGGACCTAGAAGCCCAGAGGCCTAGACGTATCAGCATTAATATAGAGAAGACCACGTTGTTGGAGACTTTCGAAGATACAGATGTTATTCTCCATAAAAAAATCAAAGTATTATACAGAGAAAGTGAAAACTTGAGATTTAATAAACTGTGGTTCAAATTTAACACACAACTTCCAGAAAGCAAGATTTAAAGTGATATTACAGGGTGCATCTTTTTATACCCTTTAAGTAGTGAATCCCTTCATGGTCATGAAGTGGAAAGTGTTGGAATTTTTCCTTGGGCCTGAAGCCAAATGGGCTGCCACTCTGTTAGCTTCATAGATCTGGTCAAGCTTCCATCGTATACAGCAGGATCCCCAGCTTATGCTTGAACTCCTCCAAGGATGGAGAGCTCACTGTCTCTCATGGCAGCCCACCTTGGACAGTGCTTCTTATTAGATTATTCTACTTCCATTAAAATGAAATTTGCTTCCCTGAAGTGTTGTGTGTGTTTTTTAATTCACCAAGAAAACAATACTTCAAGAAGGATTTTTGAGCATCTGCCACATGTCAGGCCCTGTTAGTCCTTCGGAATAAAAAGATGAGGAAATTATATATTCTCAGTTGATCTTGTGGAATGTATAGTCCAATTTGATAAATCTCTCAATTTTTTTTTTCATTCTTACATGCGCAAGAATTAGGTCACTCTCCCATGGATACCAGTGACGCTCTACTATAGCCACATGAACATCTCAGCAGAGAAAGGCGTTGTACCCCGAAGTCCCCAAGTGACACCACTTACCAGCACACCCCCTTTTAGAAATCACTGCTCTCATGGTTCTTTAATTTTATAGAAGTCCAATCCTACTTTAACAGGCTTTAGGTCAAGTATCTGAAGACCACTGTCATACATCCTTCAGCCCACCTCAATCATTTGTTCTTTAGGCTATTCATGCCTAAATTCAGAATCCAAACTCTGGTTATTGTATTCCTGAAGAAAAGATTGGCTCAGAAAAAGCTGTTGATAGCAGCTGTAAATGCGTTTTCATCTGTGGTAAATGGAACTGATTCCTTTGGGCCAAAGCAATAGCTGACTAGGAGCAGGGAGAAGCTGAGCCACACCCGGTGCCCTGGGGATGTGGCCTTTCCACCAGAACATAGCCTGTGATGACCAGCCCAAAGCGAGGGACGTGGGGAAGGGAGGGGGAGGCGGCTGTACTTACTGCCCCACTTTCTTGTCTTCCTTCTAAGGCACAACAGACTGTTCCGTGACGGGGGTTAGAAAGGAGGGATGAGAAAGCATATTCTGTACCGATTGGCAAAAGTTAAGATTTAAAGGGGGTGGAGCAGGGGAAGAGAGACAGAGAGAGACAGAGAGAGACAGAGAGAGACAGAGAGAGAGGAGGAAGGGAAGACAAGCTGAGATAAAAATCGCTCCAGCTTATATAGCTGGACTGTTCATGATGTAAAGAGACAGCTGCCTTAAAGGATTAGGCCCTACGGCCTGATTAGCATCATTTGATCTTTTGCTATTGAAAAGACCCTGTGTGTTTTCAAAGGCAATGGGCTTCTTAAGTAAAACCAGGAGTCTGGGGTAGAAGAAAGCTGTTAGAAAACAATTCATTTTTTGTTTAGTAATCTTTTGTTCTACCTTCTTCGTAATCTTCAGTTTCCTTCTCTCTGTTATTGGGGGCTGCATCTAAATCTGAACATTGGAGTTCTGGCATATCTGATGTGACGAAAACAAACATAAAAAATGATCGTGACCTGAATTGCTCAGATCAGATTTTCCCCATGAACATCATCATAAGGGAGCTTTTTTTTTTTCCTGTTTTGTTCTGATGTTATTTTTTAATTCTTTACTCTCACCCTTAACAACCACCATGCAATTTTAGTAAAGTGATTAGCAATTCATTATATACCATAGCATTTCCAGGATTTACTCTCTATCTTATCTGCTTTCTTTTTGCAAGTTTCAAGTGAGATTGATGCTGCTATTGAATTAGACTGATTGTCAGGAAGTCAAAATTTTCCATTAGCCCACTGGGTGCAGAATCTTGGTGGGAGGAATCTGAGCATCTCCACATCCCTGCTGTCATCCCAGGGTGGCCGGGTGATGAGGTGGGGAGGGCTTCTGGTGGTTCGAGAGGACCCAGCAGTCGTCATAACTAGTTCAGTCTCTGTGGCACATTCAGCTCTTGGCATCGCTGCCAAGCCAACCAACAAAGGAGCATTGTAATCCTGACAGTTTCCCAGCATTGACTGGATGGGCACAGACCACCAACCAGCTCCTTTTGCTTCTACTGTTCACAAGTGAATGGAAAAAAGTCAGTGGCAAAAATCCCACACCCTGCTGAACTCGGTGTGTGGATGCTGTTCTAGCAAGCAAGTCTCCCTCCAAGCTAGTAATCCTCATACCTGTTTTCCTTTTCATTTTTGTTTGTTTGTTTTTAAATACAACGTGCTTGGATGGTAATGTATAATCCTCATCGCGGCCTGCCAAAATATTAGACTTGGGTTTTGAAAAACAAGCTTATGGCATGCAGTACTTCAGAGAATAGAAAGGGTAATAAAAAGGAAATGTCACAAATGTAAAAAGATAAACTGAGATAAGCTTCTAAAATGAAAAGCAGTAATTCCAGCTAGTTCTAGAGGCCACTGTGGTTCTTAAGAAACTGAATTTTGGGGAATAAGAATAGAGTTTTTAGGTATAAAATGGAATAATTTTAAGTCAGTTTCAAATTTTGGATGTGCAACCAAAAGTCTGCCATTTCTGTGGACCAAGGGAAGGACATTTCCAACTCTGGTTTTAAAAGTAGCAATAAGTAAAAGAAAATATTTAAGAACAAAGTAAACTTAGAGATAGTTATCATGCATTTATCACTAATCAAGAGTCAGGAAATATTTTAACAATCAGATAAAATGATCTTTTAATACATTTCAATGGGAAATGTGGATAATTCTGTTGATTTAAATTGTTCTTTATAAGTATAAGTTACAATAATGAGATGCAATTTTAACTTACCGGTTATCAAATAAACAAATGGTAGCGCTTTATGCTGGTGAGGGGAAGTACAGTAAGAACACGATGTGTGAACAGGATCCAGTTTTAGAAAGCAATTTAGAACCTTAGTAATTGTCTGCCCCTTTGACCTAGTCATCCTACTTCTTTTTTCTTTTTATTAATATATTTTTATTGATTTCAGGGAGAGGAAAGGAGAGGGAGAGAGAGAGAAGCATCAATGATGAGAGTCATTGATCAGCTGCCTCCTGCACGGCCCCCCGTTGGGGATCGAGCATGTGCCCTGACAGGGAATCTAACCTCGATCTCCTGGATCCTAGGTCGATGCTCAACCACTGAGCAACACCAGCCGGGCTATTCTACTTCTTAAAATATATGTGTGCATGTATTCTAATATTTTAATATTATATTAATGACAAAATAAGAAAATAAGTACAATATTATATATCAAGGCAAATATAAAAGCAAAAACAAACAACAGGAAAAAACAAAGCTGTTCCCTCCCCCTACACCTACCCAAATGAGAACAATTGAATTAATTGGTAAGTAAATAGTAAATTGTTAACCCAAAGTAAATCTACATGATGGGATATCATGTAGCTATTAAAATGGATGTATCCAGAGATTCTTAATAATAAGAGGGAATGCTTATTTAAGTGTCAGTTGTAAAGAGGAGTTGTAATTGAGTAATTGGTAACTATTTTAACTTGCAAAAGTACAATAAAATACTAATGGTCACTGTCTTGGTAGGTGGCATTATAGTTGATTTTTCAATATTCATTTCCACATTTTAAAAATTATTC